AAGGCACGACACATTCACCTCATTCATCTTTTCCTGGTCCTCCTCGGTCACCAGACATCGAAGATAGCTAGCTATCCCCATAGGAGCAGATAAAACTCGGGCATCCTCCGGGACGTTTAAAATAATTGACCTCTTGCGACCAGGGTCCACACTCGGTGTAGGGAATTGATTGATTAATTTCGGGCTCGAACTCAGCCCGCCGGCTTCCAAGGACGTGTCCTTCTTCGGAACCTCCAGGTCGCTGAGCCTGGAGAAGTCTTCCAAAGCGGAAGAGTCCACTCCGTAGAAAAAGGAGCGAAGGGGATCTTCCGCACCCTGGCCCCCCTCGTTTGGATTTCTCCTTTCTCGCTTGGGCCGGCTCGAGCATAGACTCAGTATAGGAGGGCGTCCCCGAGATCTCAATTATGTCGGGCGCTTCCTTTGGAGCAGAATAGGTATCCTAGGAAGTTTTACCCCGGGTATCCACGTCAGTCTTTTGAGTTTGAGGGGGGTCGATCTCACGAGTCTCCTCATCGGATGCATCCCAGTCCCCGATGTAGGTGGTCCCATGGGTTACAAAAATAGATTCATCCTCCGGCTCATCCCTAAGACGGAGGAGGGAGTCAGAGTCTTGCACCCGGGAACTGGAGCCCCTCCTGGGCTTGCGGAGCACTCGCTTCTTTGGTTTCTTTACCTCGGAGCCCGGGGAGACCGAGGGATTCCTCTTCCTATTCTTTTTTCCATATGTGGAAGCAACAGAGGGATCAATGGACGAGGTAACATCTTCATCCCCTTCCGAAGGCCTAAGTTCGGTGGTCGTAACAAAGAGGGAAGAGGAGTTAATATAATAAAATGCAAAGACATAGTGTTGGCTACTCGGAAAGAGGCCTTGCCATGAGAACGGGCCTCCCATCGGCCCTTAGAGAGTTTTCTCCATGTGCGCTCGAAGTACGACATCTGAGTATAGATTCCCTTGATCAACTCCTTTAATTGTGGGACCACATTCGAAACCCGGGCGACAGCTGCACAACCACAAGCATGAATGAGAAGATAGAAATGGAAGAAGAAGAAATTTTGATGTTGAAAGAGGGAGTTGCACTTATGAGAGACATTCCACTTCTCAGGGAGTGGCATGTATTCCGGGGGGATCAAATCCTCGGTCTTCACTCGGACAAAGAGCCCCCACCAGCCCTGGTCTCAGTCTTCGTCGATACTGGAGAAAGGGGCCTTGCTGGCCCGACGAATAAGCTTGATCAGTCCCCCTCGGAACATTCGGGGACTGTATAATTGAAGCAGGTGGTCGATCGTGAACAGATGAGATTCGGTTTTGTTCACGATGTAGCGAAGGAGGGTCACGATCCTCCACAACGATGGGTGGATTTGCCCGAGGCACACCTTGTACCTCTTGCAAAAGTCTTGAACGATCGGGTCTATCGGGCCCCCGTGTGATGGGATAAGTATAAACATTTAGGTACCCCTCCACGTGAGTAGTGACGGCGTCCTCGGGTCCGGGGACTACTACGTTCTTGCCTTCCCAATTGCAGCCCTTACGAACTATGGGAAGAACATCTTCAGTCACGGAACATATGTACCACGAGACTCTTTCACCTCGGTCCTGTTTGCGCGAGGGCTTCTCGACTTTAAAGTCATCTGCAATTAAGCAGCCCCCGGGAATGAACGCCGACAAGGGAGGCTCGGTGGGCGATTTGTTAGCAGCCACAACGGGGGAAGACATTTCGAGGGCAACCACCTCAGGGGAAACCGCTTTAGTACCTACGGCCGGTTGAGAAGATGAAGAGGCAACTTGTTGAGGAACAATTTTCGATGTTTTGGCCATTGACATCTAGGGGGATTGTTTGAAAAATTTATAAATGGACACAAAGTTTTGGAAAAACGGGTTTTGAAGATGAAGAACATAGGATGAAGATTTGAAGAAAATCTAGGCAGAAATCTGGAGATTGCTATGGAAATTGAAGAACAAGGATAAATATATGAAGGTTTGAAGAAGGTTTGATGATGGCTGGAAAGCTCGAAGGTAGTGATTTGGTCAAAAAGTAGAAAAAGGACAAAAGGAGGAAGCTTTTATAGGGAAACAGCCGACGCTTCGCATTCGGAGGCAACCTGCCAGTGAGCAACACGTATCCAAAGTCAGAACGACGCGATTGATGGGACGTTTCGGCTCCCTCGTCGTAACGTGCGAAGGAAGGAACTGGAGTCATCTGTCGTTTCCCATCGTTTCGGCAAGCCTACTCTCTGAGAAATGAGAGGACTATCTGTACACGGGTAAAACTGTGCGCACTGAACACCTCGATTTCCCAGTAAGTCAAACGGAGCAGGAACGTGACCGTAATGAATCGGAGTCAGAGCGAGGAGCCCCTCGTATCGGGGCTCGGGCAAAATACCTACCCTCAGGGGTATCTGGGCCATGTCCTCCGGGTCCAGTTCGAGGATCAAGACCTCGGAGGGCATTACCAAACAATTGCACACGATTAACAAAGGGCCGTGATGTCCGTGCCCAACCGGATATCACGACGTGAGTCTCGGCCCGTATCGGCAGAAAATCAGGGATTAGCGAAACAAATGATTTTACCTTTCTTAGAATTGTACTTAGGGTAAAACTCTCCTACTATGTAAAGGGGGGAGATTATTATTCATGACACATCGTAACACGCATATCAAAACAATTTATTTCAATTCTCTTTGTTGTTTAAAGTTCTTATAGTGCAAGCTTGGAATCGAGGGCAGGTTCTTCATCGAGCCATCAACCGAGCTCGAAATCATCCTTATCATTGGGTTGGCCATTTATTACTTCTTTCATTTGCTTAATCTAACGTCATTAATCACTTATATTGAACTAATCCATATTTCCTTAAAACCACATATAAATTCAATTGTTATCCGTTTTTGAGGGTAAGCAGACATAAAAAATGATAAAGATGACTGTGCGAGAGATCGTTTAAGTGAGTGATTTTTGTATTGTCGTCGGGCTGAAGTGATCGTGGAATAATGGTGGTCTTCAAATTGTATTTCTTGGAGCATATTTGGAAAGCCACATGAGAATTGAATTTGAATGTAATTGAGTATAATTATACAGTTTGACATTTTGTTTGGCCAAGTAATTACTTGGTTAGTAGAAAATTGAATGTAATTGACAAGGAGTAATTATACTTTTTAATTCTCAATTGAGTGTAATAATTTTCAAAAGTTTCCTTCCTTTTTCCAAATATATACTCTTTTTTTTTTTTTAATTTTTATTTCTTTCCGACTAATACTTCTTTGACTCCTTTTAAAAGCTGCTCCGAACTTAGCACCAGCATTCCACTCCAGATCTGTACTTTTACTTCTTCCTTTATTTTTTATATTTTTTAATTGATATTGTATCAAATTTTTAATACCAAAATGAGATTTAAATAAACAAAAAACATAGAGAAACTGATAGAGAGCCCACGATGGTTCCGTCTATTTTACCTCTATATCCGCCCTTGTTAGATTATACTGCTAAAGCCATAAGTTTAACTCTTTCTGCAACAAATAAATTCTTGTCGGAGTCAACTCTTTTCTAATTCTTTCTACAGTAAATTTGATACTTTTTCATAACAGCTTTTGAGTTTACATTTTTAAGTTCTAATAGGTTATTTTCTGAAAGTAAATATAAGTTTGAATTCAGATAGTCATATATCAAACTTAGGTGTTGGTCTTCCACGTGAATTAGCTCTACAATTTTACACTTATCTTCAAGGTGTAACGTGAATAAATATACTTCTTTTTTTACATACATTATTTAATTGGTTGATAGAGTAAGATTAAAAATATATATTTACCTATGTAATTATAGTTGTCCAACCAAACATGACAATAAGAATTACACTATAATTATGTGTTGGAAAATAGATAGGTCACTACAATTACTATACTATATAATTAACAGGTTATGCAATTATTAGGTTAGTAATTACGCAACCTGATAATTGCACATGGCTTTCCAAAACTCGATTGATAAAATTCCATTGTCAATACATCTCATACCATCAATAGTAAAGCCAAAATCCACATCAATCTACTAATGCTAAAACAAATATTGGTACACAGTATTTAACTACTAAATCATTTTAAAAAATACTTTGGCAGTCAAGGTAGAGTTGTAGTTGTTAAGGGCCAATGGATTCATGGCATAGGTAAAATGGCAAAAGAAAAATATGGTAAAGATGAATATGTGACAGATCGTTTGAGTGAGTGATTTTTGTGTGTTCTTTTTGTGTTGTCGTCGAGGTGAAGTGATGGTGGAACATAGGGCGGTAGTGCATTAGTTACGGGCAGAGGCGGATCGAGAATTTTAAGTTTGTGGGTTCCTACGTAAATCTTAAGTTAATAGTATACAATAATAACTGGATTAACCGACTTGGTTCCAAGCTAAATATTCTTATATATTTAATGAATTTTTCAATACAATACCGAATCTAGACAAAAGTTACTGGGTTCACGGGAACCTGTATCTAACTCACTGGATCAGCCCCTGGTTACGAGTTCTCATGAACCCATTAACTTTTGTCTAGATCCAATATTTGTATTGAAAAATTCAATAAATGTATAGAATATTTAACTTGGAACCCAATTTGTTAATCCAGTTATTATCGTATATTAACTTGAGATTTCTATAGGAACCTATAAACTTAAAATTTTAGGACCGCCTTTGATGGAACAACAATGGTCTTCAAGTGGCGTTTTCAGAACTGAGAGAATCAATTATTATGATGGTGATTAATTTAGAGTGTGGATGAAAAAATAAAATCTTCATAATATCACAAAGTTGAGGGACAAATATGGACTATTTTACATAATTCAAGGAAAAACTTGACCTGTTTCCGATGTAAAAGGGTCTCATGTGTTAGAAAGCTAGCGAATAAGGGCATATTTGAATCAATATTGTAATGATAGGGGTATATTTAACTCTAACTATTCATGAAGGGCATATTTAAAATATTTCACAAAGCACAAGAACAAATTTAATCTTTTCCCTACTTATTTTTCCAAAATCCAAAAGAAACATAAATAAATACTCCTAGGAAAGAAGAAAAGAAGGAGCAAGACATGTCTGCAGCACCCACCAATTCAGACTCGCAGCGCCATCTCCTCAAGGAGGTATTATTTGTATTTATTTGTGATTTTACCGATTTAGAGTTCTGTGAGTGTCTGTGTTTCAAGAAAGAGAGGGCATTAAAGTTATAATTTTTAATAGGTAAGAAGTCACGAGGTTGCTGTAGCGGAGCTCAATAACCTTCCTGCTTCTCGGGTATGTCTTCTTATTTTCTGGAATTCTAGACTTACTCAGTTGCTATTTGTTATATCAACCATAAAGCATGCTTATACATGTATGATAGATTAATTAATTTTGTTTCTCTGATGACCATGTTTGTTAGTAATTTTTCGGTTCCACCCAACACCCACATGACCAAAATTGAAAAAAAATAATATGTAAAGGAGTTGTGTTTTTCCTCCTTTTTATCAATTTTTTGATTGTGTGGCTTTACCAATTAGTTGGAGTTTTGCCTTTTCAAAATTATATTTTTTAATTCTTATCATGTATATTCTGTTCTGATTTTGTAGCTGAATCAAAGAGAGTGTATACGATTACGGCTTACACTGTACACAAGCATACGGAGATTATTGCCTATTCTAGATGGATTTTTTTAAATGAGGGAGACAGTTGAAAGACCTTTTTAGATTGGGTGAAGTGGTGGATGCAATAAAGAGTTATGTTGGGAGATAAAGACACCATGATCAGATGTTTTTACTATGGCGCTTTCCACCAGTGCTGGGAAGTATCGAGAAGACTTTCTACTCATTTATAGTACTCATCCCGAAGAGACTGGTGCACAGGTCATAAGGGACCTACAACCTATTTTGTCCATACGAAGCCTGTGCCACAGTTATAGCTAAGGCGCTAGCAGTGAGATTAAAGTCAGTTGTTCGCTAGTTAATACCCACAGTTCTGAACGTTTGATTAAAGTCAGTTATTGGGTACTTAACGTCCACATTTTAAAATGTTTGATTAAAGTCAGTTGTTGGCTAGTTAATGTTCACATTTCAGAATGTCTTTTGTAGAAAAACTGAATATAAGCCCGATGTGATTATGGTCTTGTCAATATTTGGACTGAAATTTCTTGATGTACTTACTCGACAACTGAGATTTGGAGGACGATGGAGTAATTGGGTTCGATGCTGTATTACCATAGTGAGGTTCTCATCAGTGATTAATGGAACCGATAGTGGCTTATTTGGTAGTACTTAGTAGTAGAGGGATAAGGTAGAAGGATTCCGTTATTCTTGTTATTATTCACTTTGGTATGGAATCTTAGGTAGATCAATGGAGGAAATTGGAGCTGGTGATTTTATAAGGGTTTTAGAGTGGGGGATTAGCTTAAGAGAAGGTTACGTTATATATCACTTGTCCTTTGGTTTTTAGTGAATTATGATGGACTAATTTGTTATTCTTTGAGAACATTATTTTTATACAAAGCTATTTGAGGTTTACATGCCCAGACCCTACTCTTGGGATTTTACTGGGTTGTTGTTGTTGTTGCTATTTGAGGTTTACACAATAGTATGGGCAAATTCAGACTGATTTCATTGGGGAAATATATAGGTCATTAATAATTTGGCGGGGATATTGAGATGTCAGGTGATTACATTAGCCATGGTGTATATGGATATGTTTCCTAGGAGAAAGTTTGACAATAGAGTTATGGCAGCCGCGATCCAGAACTTGAAGGGAGGCTTTATAGATGAGAGAGACAATACTTGTTTTAGGGAGGAAGGGAGAATTACATTTCTGAAGTTCACATTGTCTAATATTCTTATATATTTCAGGTCCTTATTTTTGGACCCCGTTAGATCTAACAAGTAAATTGAAAAGATAACATAACACTTCTTATGGAAGTGTAAGGATGGGGAGAAGAAAGATCAGTTGTTCGAATGTAAAAAAGATAACTGTCACTATAAAGGAATAAGGACTAGGGACAAGAAGATTAGATGTATTTCCTAACAAGAAGATTAGATGTATGTCCTAACAAGAAGATTAGATGTATTTACAAATGAGTGTGTCACCTTGTACCTGCAGGCAATGTTATGGAGATTTGCACACGAGGGAGATGCACTACACAGGAAAATAATAGTGGCTAAATACATGGTATCAGTTGCATCTAAGGGTGCGACTTAGTGTTCGATAAAGCCGGAAAGGACCATGGGAGACTAGGATTCAAATTCCAGTGGAGGATGTTAAGTGATTTCTCATTTGTATAGGCCTAAGTGGCAGAGTTACCCGGTACATTTGCTAGTGGGAGGTAGCAAATACCTAATGAATTGATCGAGGTTTGGCTAGTTGATACACACACCAACAATAACAACAACAACAACGGCTCAGTGTAATCCCACAAGTGGGTCTGGGGAGGGTAATATGTACGCAGACTTTTTCAGAGAGGCTGTTTCCAGGAGACCCTCGGCTCAAGAAGGCCACAAGAGACGATATATTAGTACCATCAATAGAATCATAATAAAATGACAGCAATATAAGAAATACGAAATAGATGGAAAGTACGATAATAACCAACAAATTACCCCTAGCATCAGTAATTGACCCCTAGCATCCTAATACTAACTCCTAACTGGCTAATCTTACATGGTGTTATAAAAATAAATACATGGTGTTAATTAAAAGATGAGGCTCATATGATGTTATGTGCTTCGACGATGTGAATTTGGGGAGAGGGATTTGTAATTCGTAAGCCGAGCTTATTGGAAATCCTTAAAGAAGTTATACAGGGACGTCCTGAGATACCGAGCAGCCACTTTGCATAGATTAGGCATACAGAGAGTCCAGCCCGCTTTGATTTTCAAAGAAAAAGCTGATGATGTAACGAAGTTCATCGGTTTCATAGTTGGCAACGGCAGCCGAATATGGTTTGCTATTTTGGTTAGATAGGTTGGAAACATAACCTTGAGATTGCACATCCACGAGGGTTTACCATCTCAAATTATAGGATTGCGGTTACAGATGAGAAAATCTTCAGAAATTAGTCTCAGAAGAGCCATTCGGGTGAATTTATGCAAAAGATCTATAGTTACACATGAATGGGAGATGGAGAGTATAGTAGAGTTGGGGGGAGGACCAGTTATTAGTACTCTTTATAAGGATGTACAATCCAACCACATCATGAAAGGAAAAGGAATTGTTATGAGTTAGTGTTGCACCTGGAAAGAGGATGAAAAGATGTCAGGGACTTGTTATCATGCTGTAGATTAGCAGTAGTGTTTTCTCTATTAACAGGAGGATGTTTCAAGGTTGTGAAAAGAGCTTAAGAATTAAGAGATATAAAGAGTTTGCTGATTGACCTTCTCTTAAAAAAAGGGGGAAAAAAGAGATAAAAAGTTCACGCGAGATCTTTGAAATTCAATCACAACAACACTGGGTGGGTAAGATATAGGATTCTTGTCTGAGTCGTGTGGATCACAAAATGGATCTATGATTTCAAGTCCACTCGTTGATTTCGAGAAAACCGAATCAATTGGCTTTTTTCCCAGCGATGCCTCCAACTCGAGATTTTTCTTCATAGAACTGGCCTTTTGTCTAGTTTATATTGTGGGTGTAAAGTAAGAAATGTTTTTGATTCAAATTCAGATTTCAGTTATTGTTAATTACAATAATTTTTAAGTTGCTATGCACCACCTGTATTGTCAGGTCTTTTCAATTACTTGTGCATTCTCAAATTTGTGATTTATCCTTGGGGCGTTGAAATGGTTGAAGCATTGGGGAAAACAGGGGTGGGAAAAGAAAAGATAAGAAATCAAAGAGAACTAAGCTTGATGAAGTTTTCAAAAAACTCAAAAACAGCACCCCGCCTATCTCCATCAAGTGAACTTGTTTATGGAACTTTTTAAGGCAGATGTAGAGATGTGATAATGAGATTTGATGAAGATAAAGGTTTTTTCTCTTGCTGTGCCATTTGCCCGTCTTTGGTTTCTTCCTTTACAGTTTGTCTAACACTCTCCCACTGGAAAAATCTTTAATGCTAATTTCAAACTCGTGTGATCCTCACAAAAATGGTTCATCTTTTTTTTTTTGTTTTAGGGATAAGTTCTACTTTCTGTGAAAGCCACCAAGAAGGCAAAGAAAATTTATAGCTCCTGTTACTAATGAAAGGAGTTGAGAAAATTCAGCAAAGCTTCCACGTTACATAAACTCAGCATGTTTCACCAAAAAGCCAAAAAATACAAACATTTCTATCTGATTCTATGTACTGGTCTACTTTTCCTTCAAAACATCCCTATTTCTATCTGTCTGAATCCCCCAAAAAGAATAGTTAAGTAGTTAACCATCTTCTTCTGTATTCCTTTTTCCACTTTCCTTCAAGCCCAGCTCCACAGAAGGTCGTTGATAGTCTTTGGAAGCACCCAGATCAAGAGCCGTCTTGCCACCTGATAATGCAGTAGCAAGCGGTTCACATTATTCTCAAGTCTCACACATGTAGCATCCGCAGCTGCAGGTTATTGATCCCATCTTCTACAGATTTGACTGTCAGAAGTGCCTCATTTGCTGCAATCGTCAGCTTTGGAAGTGCTTTGTTCTTCCAAATGATGTTCCATAACCACACCGACTACTTAGTTCCTGAGGAGTTTAACACAATTTATAACCAGAGTTCACTGAGTAGCCATCCCAGCAAAAAAAGAGTCTGTTTTTCCTCTTCCATTGTTTTTTCCTTAACTTCTAGCAATAGGAATTTTACCCGCAAAACTATTCAAAAGGTTTTACTGTTGGTACATGAGGTCTTCATGTCAATTTTGTGTTTCTGGGTAGTGGTAGCCGATGAACTATCGTTGTGCTTAAACGTAACTCATTTCCATTTTACTTAGATAATTTGAACTTTTTGAGAACATACCTAGATAATTTGAATTGATGGCTTAAAACATGTATAGAAGGTTGAATTGTCAGGCCTTTATCCTATGAAATGGATGTCGTTACATGGTGGCATGAAACAATTAAATAAGTTTAAGATTTTTAATACCTTATTCTTTCTGTTATCACAAGTTGAACTTAGGACTTCCTTGATCTATTTTGTTCTATTGTCCTCTTAAATAAGCAGTTTGTGCATGGATGATAGATAAGGTATAAATGTGGATTTATCTTTGTAGTAATGTACAAGTTTCGTTAATTTATGAGGATGTGCTTTGTTACTTCATCACCAGACGGTCTACCAGAGAAATGGCAACATACTATTCCGTACAACTGTGCAGAAAGCAACAGTATCAGAACAAAGTAAAATATTCTCTCGCTGTGCCTGCATTCAAGCTGTTTTTGTAGTAATCACTTTTAATATTTTATATTGATCTTCTTTTATCTGGTTTATTTTGGACAGAACAATTGGACATGCTCAAATCTAAGCTACAAAAATTAAGCTCCTCATGATGTCATCAATGATCCATTCAGTTTGAGAGGCGGGGAAGAGGTAAAAGCCAACTCCAATTTGCTATTGGAGAGTGTGAATCTGACTTTGCTGTTTATGTTATGTAATTTTGGAGCTTAAATACCTGATGAAGTTGGAAGTACCAACCATATTGTTTTTTGACTTAAAAAATTTGTGAAAGATGTTTTGAAAGTAAGATCATATAATGAAAGGTGTTACAGTTATATTGATTTTCTAGCATTTCAATTGGCAACTTAGGCTACAGAGCTGTGTAAATTATGACAGTCTCGGCCAGAGCCGAAGTCGCTACTTCTGAAATATTCTGTGCAAGTGAGATGCAAATAGTTGTTTTTGAATTGAAGAGCAGTTAACCTGAGAGGCATGGGCAATTTTCCGTTTGATAGGATAATCTGAATTTTTTTTTTTTTTTTTTTTGGTTTCCCGCCCGGTGTTCGGTACCCACATTGGGGCCCGACTAAATCCGGATTCGCGCGGGGAAGTCCCACATTGGGGGGTAAAGAGCTCCTTAATAAAGGCGATTCCATACCCAGGGGCTCGAACCCGAGACCTCTGGTTAAGGACGAAGAGTACTTACTACTCCACCACAACCCTTGATGGTAGGATAATCCGAGGTGGTCTAGAACGTGCTGATATTGCATTGTTAGAGTTAACTATTTGAAGTGAAGAGTCATTATTTACCTTCATTTTAATTTGTAGCGAATTTAATGTTATTGATATATTTTATATTTAATGTAGTAATGTAAATTATGTAATCAACTATTACATCTAGAGAGTTTGGTCTTTTTATGAAGTACTTCCTCCGTTTTAGATATATAGATTGTGTGAATGTGTTTGTATGAGCAAGGAGTTTAAGGGGAAAAAAAGAAACTCAGTAAAATGAGTAAATTAACAAAGAGAAGCAACAAAATTATGGAGGGCAAGAAGAAAAAGAAAGAATAGCAGCAAATAAGCCAAACGAAAGATACACATCATGAAACATAAGAGTATAGTGACAAGAGGGGGCAAGGAGACGAAGCAGTCTTCAATCTTCTTCTTGATACAAGGAAGAGACATTGCCTTTATTGAAAAGAAAGAAAACTACGCTATGTGAAATTACATGTCTAGACACTACACAACTTGGTGCAACTAACGATGACAATAATGAGAAATTACAGAGCAACCATGACTTCGGCAATCTCCATTGTTGTTACAGCGCATTCGATAGCATGCTGGTGGGCGCAGCTTGCTTGTCACTAGTTCTATTGTTGCCGCTTCTCCTGCAAATACCTCTTCTTCCATGGCTTCTGCTAATTCTATTCTTCGGCACGATGCAACTGCAAAAGAGATTTCATTAACCATCAACATTACACTCGTAAATTGATATATCTATAGTAAGGACATTAAGAAACATTTACACACACAGATTAGTTATTTGGTAACACAATCTACTAACTACTTATTGAAAACAAAGAGGCAGAGAACTAACCAATGGCAAACAAGAGGAGGAGAGGAAAAAGAGCAAGAGTAGTTGACGACTTGGAGGCCATGTTTCTGGTCTGTGTAAATGCACTTAGAGGTCCTCCTAAGGACATTAAGAAATATAACAATATTATATTGGGAGTTGTACATATTGTCAAGATTATATGGCAGCATATGGGCCTACCCACTATAAAAGTCCGGGTGGATGAATAAATTAAGAAAGGGAAAAAACTACCGGCTATGTCCATTTATAAGTAGCTCTTACAAAAATAGGCCAATTCATAAAATATTATTAATATTAGCCAATTAGCTATTTGTACCAAAAACAAGTTAAATTTTTGCTTTCTTTTAAGTGAGTGTTACTAGAACAGATTGGGTATATCTTAAGGAGCTTGAATCTCAGTTTTGGGATGATTTGGTGAAGTTTTGAGGTAGTTTGAATTGAAAATTCGAAGTAAAAACTGAACATGAAAAAATAATAATTTGTGTATCACATATGTATCATATTTGTATCAATTGTGTATCACATGTGTATCCATGTATACCTGTGTGTGAGATACATGCGTGATACATGTTTGATACATGTGTCACAGAAGAATTTTTTGAACTCGATTTAATTAGGAATTTTGATACAAACCAGTCCAAATCACCTCCAATCTTCCTCAACTAATTTCAATGGGTATAGTTGATCACCTTATTTGCTACCCCATCTATGAAATTTCCTTTCGTCTTGCATCTAATGTTGCTAATCACGCTTATAAATATGGAAGGTGATTTTTGCATGTGATTCTTTGAGAGAAAGAACCTTATTTATTTGGTTTTTAAATTTTTTTATGTGCTTGACTAGTTTTGGTACGTCTATGACTAATGGCTAAAGGTTGGTAAGTTGAGACTTATTTGAGGCATTTGTGTAAGTTTCCCGTTAAGAAATATGACACATGGCCGCTAAGTCCACCTGCAAGCGATATAAATGATTCTAAGAAAGGGAATTCCAATAAGCCGCCATGAGAGAGAAACACCACAAAAAATGCTATTTATGATTACACGTTGAGATGCCAAACAGTGCGGGGTGATGCGGTTGCGGGACAAACCTGCATAAACCCGAGAAAACTTTAATCCGGCCCGCCCCGCGAAGTATAATTTGCTGTTTTCAAACCTGACTTGCATAATTTTTTTTTTCTTTTTTGAAAGAATTTGTTAGTAAAATTCTTTTTCCTTTTTTGCTAAGTAGTATTAATTTAAAAGTTTGATACCATCTTAGAATGGATTTAAGTTTTATACGTTGCAAATATAATAATTTTTACACTATCGGGGTAATTTAATTTCATATAATAAGTTACTTACCATTTAATTTCATATAATAGGTTACTTGCTAGTGGTGTAATCTATGCTACTACTCTTCATACCCGTTTGAACCTTGAATTTACAAATTTCTTCATCTACGCTAAGAGGGAGAAAATGAACAACTTCACATTGGCATTTTGAAATGGTTCACAAGTACATGTTAACAGGAAAGAGCAGAAGTGAGATGCGCTAAAATCTTCTGCTCCTGGTTAATAAAAAGGGACTTCGCTTTACGTGTCATGCTTCCTACGGTGTGAAAACTCCAACAAAGATAGTGATATCCGATAAAAAAGAAAAATACAAATTGGATATCAAAACAGACACATAGTGCCAATCAAACAAAACATTTCAAAATAAGCGAACGAAAAGATAAGAGTAGGCGGCATATAATTTAGGTCTTTAGGCTTTAGGTAAAAAAAATATCCACCCGCGACCCGCGTGAATTTTTTTTTTTTATAAAAAAATGAACCTGCCCCACACCCACAAGCTCTCTAACCCGCCCCACCCCGCAGACTCCCAAACTCGCATCGCCTCATTGCCATCCCTAATTATACGAAAATGTTGTGGGAGTAATTTTGGATAATTGAGAGGGTATTCGGACGAACAGGTTATGGTGGATCATTGTCCCGATCATTTTTGAATGGGGATTGGCGATTATGTCGTAACATTAAAAAAAGAGAAATTTTCATAAATCACTATCTTTTAGTAGTAATTAGTCATCTATAGATATCATTTGCTATATTACGGATTATAGATACCTTTTATGTGGTTATAAGATGTATTTGATGTATTTAAGCTATTGTATTCATGAATACAGTAGCAAAAATAGGCGTAAATCAGGGAAGTCCAGCTAATCAGTTGTTGTATTCGAGTGTATTCATGGAGTGAAACATGGGGTTAGAACTAGACAGATTATTGTATTCGACTGTATTCACGGCGTAAAATAGGGGATTACAATGTTTTTAAAACGGAAAGTGAATCAATTAACATAATAGACTCCTAATATAACTCAACAAACTCAATTATAACACACAAATTTTGTATTTTTAGTTATAAAAAAGATTCTCAACCGAAAAATACCCCAAAAACATAGCAATCTTCAGAGAAATTATATAATACATCTGAATACATAAATTATATTAATTAAAAAAACTTATGAATACATTCATGGCATATAGCGAGACAGTGAATACAATGAAATACATAGAATACAGCGGGATACATTGAAATACAATGAGAAAAAAAAGACAGTGAATACAATGAAATGCATGGAATACAACGAGATACATTGAATTACAATAAAAAAAAAGACAATGAATACAATGAAATATATGAAAATACATTCAAATTGTATCTGCAGATGGCTAATTACTACTAAAATAGCTCCAGTCCCCCTGAACCATCTACGAGCTCGGTTAACTTTTGTGAAGCAGCAGCTAATGTCTCCTCACTTTTGCAGAACGTAGATCTGATATACCTCCTGTGGTAGCTAATAGCAGTCGAAGAAAAGTCCTCTAATGATGACGAATTGGTATGGAAGAATACACGACCTGGTACAGCCACCACCCCAGCTTGTTTAATCAATTCCTCCACAAAATCAACCTGGAATGTCTTGAGGTGATCACTACCACAATTTAAACATATAAAGAACGCCAAAATAAAATGCTTTGTCAAGTTCTTACATGCCAACCACAAAAAGAAGTTCTTACAGGCCACGCTGAGACGTAAAAGCTTTATCCAAAGTATGAACCTATTGCTGGTACAACCGGCCGACAATAATCACTCAATGTACTACTCCGATCCAAAATTCGTAAAGAGCTAAAGAATTCCGGTGGAAGGAGGAGGAGATCTGAAATTTTAATGGGATGGGGAAGAGAATGAGATATATCAAAGTAGAGAGAGAAAAAAAAAGTGTAACTGATTAGCGTATTCAGTGGCTTAGGGCTAGGAGGTAACCAAAATTAAATATTTTGCTATAAACCTTAAAAGGTATCTATAGAATATAATTTTTTAAAATGGTATTTATTTAAAATAAATAAGGTGTTAACCTTTGCTATAGGAGGTAAAAATTCCTAAATGGAAATATTACTAAGCATATATGACTGAAACTGTACAACATTCTTGCATTGAGACGGTCAAATTAATCGGACATAGGGGTGGCAAACGGGCGGGTTGGGTCGGATATGAGTGGGTCGAAAATGGGTAATTCAAAAAACGAATAAGTTATCCGACTCGATTTGTATTTGAGACGGATAAAAAACGGGTTATCCGGCGGATAATATGAATATCCATATTATCCATGGCTTCTTGAATATGATCACTTTTGGGAGAATTCCTTGTCTCCCAAACTTGAGGAACACCCAATTTGAGGCTTTACAAATGTAAAAATTAAACACATTAGTTATCC